CACAGGGGCTGCCGGCGGTTCTAACGGTGACCACTACACACATACTCGTTTAAACTTAACTGGCCAGGCCAGGCACCAGCAGGCTGGCAGGGCCTCCACCCACCTGCCCACACTGTGCCGACTGCCTGCCCCTGCCCTGCTGTGCCCTACCCCTGCCCTTCCCCCCGCCCCTGCCCCTGCCCCTGCCCTTGCCCTCGCACCCCGCCCCTGCCCTGCTCTGCCCCTACCCCTGCTCCAGCCCCTGCCCTGCCACTGCACCCCCACACCTAACCCCCCCAGTCCCTGTCCCTCGCCTTTCCCCCCTCCTTACCCCCGTCTCCCCACCCCGCCTGCTGTGATCTGCAGCCTGTGGTCAGTTAGTGATTGCAAGTGCATCTGGTTGTCATTAGTTACGTAACTTTGGGCTGTTCACGTTTGATTTCCCTGAAATTACAGCTTGGAAGCGGGGCCTTAGGAAGGACGGCTGACACAGGGACAGGGGAGCAAGCCCCAGTGCGTGAGCCTGGACACAAGTCACAGGCCAGGCCTCCACGCCTGCTGCTGCTCTCACCTGCTCAGACAGGGTCTGTGCTGGGAACAACTGCAGACACTTTGAAAGACCTGATTCCAAATAAATGCAGGTTATTGGATTAATAAATACTCCCCCGTCACTGCCTCCCTCCCTCCCTCACTCCTTCCTTCCTCCCTGCTTCCCTCCCTCCATCTCTCCTTTCTTCCTTCCCTCCCTCCCCCTCACTCTCTCCTCCCCCCTCCTTTCCTTCCCTCCATCTCTCCTTTCTTCGCCCTCCCCCTCCCTCCATCCCTTCCCCCCTCCCTTCCTCCCTCTCTCATCTGTGTGCCTTGGTCTCCAACTAGCACGTGGAGTGTTTTGCAGCTGTCTGCTGACTCTGGGTTGTCCCTTTGCACAGATGACAGGGCAGTGAAGGTCTGACTGGATGTGAGTGGAACTGATGGCCACCCTTGCAGGAGGGCCTGGGGCAGGAGAGCCTGGGGCAGGAGGGCCTGGGGCAGGGGGGCCTGGGGCAGGAGGACCTGGGGCAGGAGAGCCTGGGGCAGGGGGGCCTGGGGCAGGAGGGCCTGGGGCAGGAGGACCTGGGGCAGGAGGACCTGGGGCAGGAGGGCCTGGGGCAGGAGGACCTGGGGCAGGAGGGCCTGGATCAGGAGGACCTGGGGCAGGAGGACCTGGGGCAGGAGGACCTGGGGCAGGAGGGCCTGGGGCAGGGGGCCTGGGCTGGGAAACATGGTGCTTTCCAAATCCAGATCTGTGTCTCAGTTTTGCTCCACTTCCTCAGAGAATTCTGGTTTCCCCCTCACAGCCCTTAAAAATGAAGCAGTCTTGGCATCTATAAACATTTTATTACTGTTGTTTGATTTTACTGCCCCTTTAAAGTAACAGGTCTTTGGGCGTTGCGTTTGGGAGGCACGGGAAATACCGGGAAGTGTGGAGTGGAGACCTGGAGGAGGAAATGCACAATTTGCCACAACCTTCAGGGCAGAAACGTCGCAGGAGGAAGTGCTGCTCAGAGGCCAGAGCGGGTCCGCAGGAGGGACCGGTTTGTTCCTCGTGGTCTCATCGGCTCCATGCGCCTCCTGTGGGCCTCGGACAGGGTGGGCGACGGGGCCACATGCTGCCTGACCCGCCCAGGGGAGGCCTGCGTGGCGGCCTTGCAAACGCAGAGACGCAGTCACCGCAAGGATGGTCTGAAATGAAACTTTAAGTAAAGCAGTGATGGTGGGTCGTCACGTCCTAGGCCGGTATCTTCCCTGACAAGGTCAACCTTACCTTCACTGAGCCTGTGTGCCTTTTTCCCTTGAAATGTCTGGGTCACTTGTAACTTCCCTTTTTCCGGACCCCTTGGGGCACAACCCAATGAGCTGGGCGCCAGGACAGAGACCACAGGTTCCTTCATTGTTGCTGTTACCACGTTAATTGTTGGCTGTTAACTTTCCTGCACCCACCAATCCCAGGGGTTCCCAGCTTTGCTTTCTCCCGCCTCCCTAACCTGTCACCAATGGAGTTCCCGTAACCCACCCCTCCCGCCTGTGACTGCAATGTATAAAACAGAGGAAAGACCCCTGTTCTCCAGAGCACTGTCTCAACCCTTTGAGGTTCTGCTTCCCGGCAATTGTCGCCAGTTTGGCTCAAATAAACTCACAAAAATTCTTTACAGGTTGAACGGGTTTATGTTAACAACAGAATTCTTGAAATAGCCAGAGTGGGGCCTCCCGGGGCTCAGCGCCCAGGTCTCTCCTGGGGCCGGGCGGGCTGGGGTGTTCCTCGCAGCAGAAACTCAGAGGGACAGACAGAGCCCTGCGTGTCCTGCAGCCACGGCCTCTCCAGCCGGGAGTCAAGCCCCCCAGTCCTGATGCTAGTAACTCGTTCAATGAACGGCCCTGTGGCCTGAGCAAGAGGTGCTCCCTGGACACAGTGAGCAGGGCCCACGAGTGACGGCTCTGTCCTGCTCCCCGGCCATGAGAGCGGGAAAGGGCCCAACGTCGGAGTACAGGCCACACTTTACACCAAGAGGCGATGGAGACACCGAGCTGGTGCCTGGTGGCGAGCAGGCCCTTTCCTGTGGGCCGGGCTGAGCGGTGGACAGCAGCTCCCACGACGCCGGCGTGATGGCTGTGCTGTGGGGCCCCAAAGAAGTGAAGCATCACCTGGGGGCTGGGGACCATTGGGTTGGGAGCAAGGCCAGGTCAGCAGAGAGGGTCTCTGGGGCCACTGCTTCAGCCTCTAAGCCGTGCACAGCCCCTGCAGCAGGCTCTCCAGTGGCCAAGGTCAAGTGGTTCCAGGGAGACCATGAGAACAATGGAAGGAAGCAAGCCTTCCCAGATCACTGCTGCGCACACGCACACACACACATGCCCACATGCACATGTACACGCATGCACATGCACACACATGTGCTCACACATGCACACACACATGGGTGTGAACACGAGTGGGAACTCAAGCAGCACAGGGTTCACTGGTAAACCAACAACTGGTCTCTAATACAACCCAAGGGAGGGGCGCTGGGGTGATGGACAAACTGGACAAATGAAAGATGATTTAAGAGGTTCTGGCTTCACAGAGGGTTGCGTCACACTCCGTCCCTGAGTTGCTTTCCTAGTTTGACAGGTTTAGGGGCCGGTGGGCTGTCGGAGGGGAGCTGGGCTTGAGAGCCCGGCATCTGGGCAGCTGCCACAGCGTGAGAATTAATTGGACACGGAAGTGGAGTCTGAGTTGGTGCAGGGAACTGCAGGACTGAGCTGTTTATTTCTGCCTGGCTCTTCAAATCCATGATTTTTTGGTAATTGGCAAACTACACCCACAAAACCCCATAAAATCGATATTCACTTCCCAAAGGCTCCGATGAGCAGCAGGAGTGCCTGTGGGAGGAGGCGGGCACACACACACACACACACACACACACACACAAGGTTCCCTCGTGGTCTTCAGTGTTGCGTGGTGGGCCGTGCGCGGGTGCCTGGCACGGTGAGAAACGGGCACAGGGGCTGTGAGCTCGGGTCCCACAAACGCTGCCATGTGCCCAGCCTCTCGTGACCCAGACGTAACCAAGTGCTGGAGCCGGACGGGGCCTGGAACCTGTGGTCAGAGCCTTTGCTTTGCACGGAGTGAAGCTTCGTCTTGTCCAGGGGGCCCAGGGTGTTGTTGGGGACAGCTCTCCAGTCCTGGCTCCCACAGGCTGCCTGGCACCCTCTCCTGGCTGAGAGGCCAGCATCGGGCTCAGCTGGGCAGGACTCAGGGGCTCCTCAGCAAGGACCGCTTGGCACTGAAAAGGCTCCCCTGCCCAGAAGGGTTAGCGGGTGCCACGCAGAGCAGGCCCCGGGGAGGCTGAGTGCCATGGGCCTGCAGACCCCGCCCCGCGGGTGACACCAGGACTGAATTTCAGGGGCCAGGTGGCATGGCCGTGTCGCTGAGACACATCTGTAGGAAGCCGGCTGCCACATGTCACTTCTCTGGGGCCCAGAGTTCGCATCTGCTGTCTGAGCCCCGGAGGGGAGCCCAGCTGGACCATTTGTCCTCGGGACATCGGACGTGGTCGCCGTCCACCAGCGCAATTTCCCAGAGGCCTCGGGACCGCGGGGGGAGGGGCGTGAACCTGGAGCACCCTGCTGGTCCCCGTTACATGGGGCGATGTCACCATGCGATGTGCCCATTGCCTGGTGGGACAGGCTGTAGGCCAGTGATGGTGAACCTATGACATGCGTGTCAGAGGTGACACGTGAACTCATTTTTTTGGTAGATCTTTCTTTGTTAAATGGCATTTAAATATATAAAATAAATATCAAAAATATAAGTCTTTGTTTTACTATGGTTGCAAATATCAAAAAATTTCTATATGTGACACAGCACCAGAGTTAAGTGAGGGTTTTTCAAAATGCTGACACGCCGAGCTCAAAAGGTTCGCCATCACTGGTCTAGAAGCATGTCCCATGTGCCGCGCTCCCAGGCCTCAGACACACTGCGGCTCAGACCAGCACCGTCCTGGGTGGGTCTGTGGGGAGGCCTGGCTGCCTGTCCATCCGCATCTCCTGGGGCCCCCCTGGAGGGCGCAGGCCGTGCGAGGGCCCCGACACGGTTAGATGGGGAATCTTCCCGCATCTCCCATCCTTAGTCCATCTGTTAGCCCTCTGCCTTCAGAGAACATGTCCTCTCTGCAGGCTGCACCTGTCAGCAGCAGGCTACTGCGGATCCGCGGTCTGCGTGGGCACGGGGGCGGGGGTGGGGGCAGGTGCACGCCTGGTCTGGAGATGACAGGGCTGGTGTGGTTCACTGGGTGCCCCTCGGGCCTCTGCTCAGCGCCCAGGGCAGCTGCGGGCCTGCCGCCCCCTCCGTCCCAGCTTCAAGCCGGAAGTGGGCTTGATGGGGAGAGAAGCCCCATCCCCTAAAAAAGATGAAAGATCCTGGAAAAAGAAAAATATGTAATGGAGAATCGTGGGTGAGGGGAGAGAGAAGAGTCTTGACCGCTGGCCGACACCCCAATGCGGACATGGAGCAGTTTCTGGGAAGCTCGGCGCCCACGGTCAGTGTGCGGTGCGTGCCCTCCCACGGCTTCCAGCTCCCGTGCAGGATAACACACGGCAGGGCCGCCCCGCACCGCCCGTCCTCTGCAGCGGCCTCTGTGACACTTGGCCAGACGCGCATTACCCGCTAGAAACGCTCTCCCCCAGGAATTTCCACAGTGTTCTATGCACCGTCCGCACACGGACCCTCAGCAGGCGACCTGGCTGCCTGTTCCCGGGGCCATGGCCTGGGCGGTTGTACAGAAATGAGTATTTCTGCCCCCTCCTGGCGCTCACAGAGTGCGCCTGTCTGGGCCCTAAATTGTGGTCACTCTTACACAAAGGCGTGCGGGTGGCCACTCGGCGTCCAATCCTGTGGGCAATGCCCTCCTTTCCCGCGGGGACCCTGCCTGCGTCCTCACCTGGGAAGTAAGGGGCACAGGTGGGGGAAGCACCAAGGTCTGCATTTGGAGACGGTTTCTTCTTTGAACCCGGCAGTCCCTCATTTCCTTAAAAATATTCGATGAGGACACACTGTGTCCCAGGCCTGGCGGGCACGGGCGTTGCTGGGTAGCAGCAATAAGCAGAGCGAGGGGAGTGGCAGCCAGGAGGACAGGGCTGGTCATACGCAGGCACGCAGCTTTCCGGGCACACGGCCCTGGGCCCTCCGCCGCATTGACACTTTGTAAAGGAGGAGGAGGGTGCAGGCTGAGTCCTCACACTGGTCATGGGACCTGTGGGACACCTGGAAGCGGGCACAGGGGGCTCCCAGGTGTGGGCACAGGGGGCTCCCAGGTGTGGGCACAGGGGGCTCCCAGGTGTGGTCACAGGAGGGCTCCCAGGTGTGGGCACAGGGGGCTCCCAGGTGTGGTCACAGGAGGGCTCCCAGGTGTGGGCACAGGGGGCTCCCAGGTGTGGGCACAGGAGGGCTCCCAGGTGTGGGCACAGGAGGGCTCCCAGGTGTGGTCACAGGGGGGCTCCCAGGTGTGGGCACAGGAGGGCTCCCAGGTGTGGGCACAGGAGGGCACCCAGGTGTGGGCACAGGGGGCTCCCAGGTGTGGGCACAGGGGGGCTCCCAGGTGTGGGCACAGAAGGGCTCCCAGGTGTGGGCACAGGGGGCTCCCAGGTATGGTCACAGGGGGGCTCCCAGGTGTGGGCACAGGAGGGATCCCAGGTGTGGGCACAGGGGAGCTCCCAGGTGTGGGCACAGGGGGGCTCCCAGGTGTGGGCGCAGGGGGGCTCCCAGGTGTGGGTGCAGGGCGGCTCCCAGGTGTGGGCACAGGAGGGATCCCAGGTGTGGGCACAGGGGAGCTCCCAGGTGTGGGTGCAGGGGGGCTCCCAGGTGTGGGCACAGGGGGGCTCCCAGGTGTGGGTGCAGGGGGGCTCCCAGGTGTGGGCACAGGGGGGCTCCCAGGTGTGGGTGCAGGGGGGCTCCCAGGTGTGGGCACAGGGGGGCTCCCGGGTGTGGGTGCAGGGGGGCTCCCAGGTGTGGGTGCAGGGGGGCTCCCAGGTGTGGGCGCAGGGGGGCTCCCAGGTGTGGGTGCAGGGGGGCTCCCAGGTGTGGGCACAGGGGGGCTCCCAGGTGTGGGCGCAGGGAGAGAGCATGAACTTGTGCACCCAGCATGTGAAGACTTGGGAGTTTCATCTCCCGACTTGTCCATTAAATTTCTCTGTGTCCTTAATTTTCCAGGTTCCCTCTTATTCCCTGGTTCTTAGTTGTTGATGACATCCGGTAGGAAATGCATTGATGAAGATGGTCCTTTTCTCTCTGAAGCTGTTCATTGCGAAGGTGGTTGAAGCTTTTTCTTCTCTGCATTCGCCTTGATTTTTATGAAGTCCTTTGTTTTCTATACTTAATTCTGGCCCGTCTTTAATACAAATGCTTTTTATGAGGCTCTGGGTGACCTTTGGTCGTTCGTTTACGAGAGGGAGGCACTGGAAAGACAGCCGGAAGCTCCGTGGGCCTGGGCGGCTGTGGACGGGGTGACGGCGGATGCGGGCTTTCACAGAAAGGTTTCTGGGCATCAGTTCTCTGAGCTCCTGAGAGTGGAGTTGCCACGTCCTGCCTGAGGCTCTGAGCTGTCCTGTTGACACAGTGACAGGAGTGGGGGGCCTGGAGCGTTTCAGGGTTCAGAGTGAAAACCTTTCTTTGGCCCCCTTTCTTTGAATGGCTCCTCCTCTCCTTTCTCTGATGAGCCTGGCATCCACTTCCCTGGTGTGAATGTCCCATGTCCCGCGTGGTTCAGGGTTCAGGATCTGGAAAAGGGTCCGCAAGCAAATGAAAGAGACAAGAAATAATAATTTGGAAATACTGGGGGCCAGACGGGCAAGCCCAATGCAGGAGAAAGGACTTCCACTGGTGCCCAGGCCTCGCCAGCCTTTTATTCAACTTTGGATACACATCTAGCTCTTAGTCAGGCAGGTAACTGCGGTAACAGACAGACTATCTTAAAGGTCAGTAAATATTAGAAGGATTTACTCTGAGATATTTGGTCAGGAAATAGCTTGAGCCCCCATGGTCTGGGGCAGATACCCTTTGAGCCATGGCGCTGCCCCAGGTGCAGCCGGCAGGGGAAGGCCCGTGGGAGGTTGGCTCCAGGGCGTGTCCAGCCTGTCTCGCCCAGTCCCGCCCCACTGGCCACCTTCTAATTAATTTCCTTGCAATGCGCATGAATCCGCGCACCAGGCCACTAGTATATTAGTATATATAAAAATCCCATGTAACTCTAGGGGAGTTTTGGGGGGAGCAGAGATAAAAACCTGCAATCATCTCCCAGCTTTCACTGGAGACTCCCCCAAGTTAACCCTTTCTGGTAACTCTCAGTCCTGAGCAGGTACCGGCCCCTCCAGGCTGGTGTCCACCCACAGCACAGCCCAGGGCTCTCGCTGCCTCCAGCTCCCACCACTACAATGGATTAAATATAAGACCCACAGGAGTTCGGGCTGTTTGCTGCCCTGTGCTGAGGTGACAATACAGAAACCACAGCCATGAGGACCGTGGCCCTGGTGTAGATGGTGACCTTCGGTTCCAGTTTAGGTCTCAACACGTTGGAGATTGTCGGGAATCCTTGAGAATGAAGACTGGCGCCTTATTCTCCTACAGTGAGGCCTCAGCTCGCCCAGCGTCCAGCCTTCTAGGCAGAGAGTCCAACCTCCTCCCACCCAGCAGACACTCACTGTGTCTCAGGGGTAACATGGTCTCTGGGGGTCAAGGGGGGACACCGGTCTCTAGGGTGAGGGAGTAACACTGGTCTCTGGGGTGAGCGGGACACTGGTCTTGGGGTGAGGGAGTAACACTGGTCTCTGGGGCCAGGGGGACACTGGTCTCTGGGGTGAGGGGGACACTGGTCTCTGGGATGAGGGGGACATTGGTCTCTGGGGTTTTGGGGATACTGGTCTCTGGAGGGAGGGGGACACTGGTCTCTGGGGTGAGGGAGACACTGGATGCTGATGGCGTTGGTTTCAGGTGGACACGGCCGCCTTATTACACATCCTGCGTGGCATGGATTCCGCAAATTAAGACACAAAGCGCCGCACTGCCAAGCCACTGAGCAGCCCGAGCCCAGGCTGAGCCCAGGCCTTGCTGACAGGAAGCTGTCCACAGGCAGAGGACCCTGTTAAGGGCTTTAAATGCAAATTTTGAATTTAAAATGCAAATGTCTTGAAGCCTCCTTTCCTTTCACCTTGGAAAGGAGAATTAAGTGGGTAGAGAGTGTTTCCTTCCTTGTTTACTAATCAGGGATCTTTGCCTCCAGGGGAAGCACATCCCAGCTGCGTGAGGAAAGGCAGGAGGAGCCAGCCCACCGCACCGCTCCTCCCGGATGGAAGCAGGAGGCAAACCGCCCATCAGCGTTGGCAAGTCAACACAGGTTTGAAACAGAGAGGTTTCCCACTGAAACAGGCAGCACTGGCACCTCAGGCCGCACAGCCAGAAAGGCCTACACGGACCCCACAGGGCAGGGCGGGCGGAGTGCTGGGGGGCCAGAGGCTGTAAGATAGGGGTGTGGGGGGGGGCGCGCCAGGGGCTGCACCAGGGCAGAGCTGAGGTCCGGGGCTGAGTTTCAGGGCCTCGGTGAGCCAACGCCACAGGAAAATGGCACAGAGGGTAGAGATTGGGGCGCTCTGCTCCACGGTCCTGGGTCCCCTCCCAGCCCCATGACCATCAAGTCTGTGTAAGTGGGACAGTAGCCAGGACGAGGCTGAGAGGGGGTCCCCTGGCCCGCAGCAGCCATAGCAGCTTCTCTCCATCTGACTAGGGTCGCCTTCCCCCCCGCGCCTGTCTGAGCGGATTTGCACTCACCCAGCACATCCCAGCCTTCCTGGTCTCCAGCAGAGCGCGGCTGTGAGCAGCCAGCGGAGTAGGCACAGGCCTGCACCTCCCTCCCTGCCTCCAGGCTGCAAGCACTCCGCCAGAGGGGCCCAGGGGACCAGCACCAGGTGGGGGGGGGGGCGGGAGGGCGGGGCGGGGGGCGTGTCTGTGAAACCCACCAGACAAAATATCGGACTGGGGTTTTACAAGTAGGATCTGACCTGCTGGGCCTGAAGTGCAGGTGAGATACCCGCTGGGGCGCTTGGGAATGATGCTTAATAGTCAGTCGCTGGAAGACGTGAGAGGGGTCGGAGAGCACAGGTCCTGTCCACCGGTTCAACCAAAGAGCCCGGCTGGCCCTTCCTTGTGGTCTAGCTGAGCCCGAGCCATTGCCCGGCCTGTCCAGGCTGAATGGCAGCACTGAGCACTCTGAAGTTTCCATTACTCTTTTCCTAATAAATAAAACAGACGGAGGAAGCAGGAACGGGATGGAATAACTAATCCAGAAGATTGGATAGAGCTGCTTCTATAAACCTTGCCACCGGATCATTGAAATGGTTTAAATCTTGCGACCTCGTCAGAAGGGACTCCACAGCCTTGGTCAGAGCTGCATGCCAACAGTCAACCAATTTATTTTGTTTCCATTAAAGTCAGTCCCCACCACATGTGCGATAATCTGTTACATACATGAGAGCACGCGGACACATATGCACACTCACGCACACAGGCATGCACACTGTCCTGCTCGTCAGGAAGTTTATATGGAAGAAAGGGTTTGTGAACAAGAAAAAACTCCAGAGCAGAGCAATAATACATTCGTGACAAAATACTAGATTGAAAAGTATTTCAAAATACTCTTCAGTGGCAAGATCTGTAGTGAAAGACAAGTTCTGTGGGTGGCAGGGACGGAAGAAATCAAAGCTGGAAAAGCTTAATGGAAATTGGCTCGAGTTAATAATTTGTAAATGGATGCACCCCCCACCTAAAGCAGGCTTGGTAATTTGATCAGGGTCGGTAATTTGAGATGAAAAGTGACATGGATCCATCAGAAAGTGTAGTTTTGAAAAACTTGTCAAATTATGTTTTATTTGAAGTTCTCATCTTTAAAAAAATACCTTTCACATATGGAACGATTTAATTTTCTTAAAATTATGCTGAGAAAACTGTGATTTTTTTCAAATTTATCCTGATTTTTAAGGGTAAGTTAAATATAATTTCCTAAATAACATAATTGTAGGAAAATTGATTGAATGGCACTTAATGGATTTTGCTAACTGAGATAATTAAATGGTAATTGCTTAATAATGTCAAATTATTGTCTGCTGTATACAATTATTAATTACATACAAAGAAGAATGGAATAGTTTATCCTTTATTGGCAACTACAATGATTGAATAAATCATTTAATAGCGTCCAATTAATTGTGTTCTATTCAATGATAAGATGATAACTGACTGACAAGAAATAGCTGAATTTGGTCTTCGCCCTCAGTAAGCAGTACAGCATGGAACAGAAATGTATATGAAACCCCGAAAAGGCATGCATGCCAAATGCATCCTCACATATCAGTAAGCTGCTAAAGTTAATTTATTGTCTGTGTTTCATAAGCCCAGCCTGGCCCTCCTGTGCAGCGAAGCGGACCCTCCCCTCACGTGGGTGCAGTCCCCCCGAGTTCCAGGGCTCAGAGCCCATCACTGCTGAGGAGCCTTCAGCTCTGGGCAGAGCGGCGTCTCCCGCAGGCTCTCTGCCTTCCACGCCCGCCCTCCCTTCACTAAAGCCCACCCTGGTAACAGCGCTCAGAGACCCCGGAGGGGGGATGGGTCTGAAAACACGTCCCGTAGGGGCGCTGTCCCAGGGGCAGGGACACATCTCCCCCTGGCGGGGGGGCGGTCAGCACATCGTGGGGGGCCTCGGCCAGAGGGCAGGGATCCATGCACTCCACGGGCAGCAAGAACTGCTCCGTGTAGTAGCTGATGGGGTCCTGGGGGACAGGACAGAAAAAGATGAGGAAAAAGCAGCAGAGTTAACAGGGAGGAGAAGAGAAACCCAAACCCTGTGTTGTTGGAGCACATTCCAGTCGGATGGTGAACATCAACTCTATGTGTCCATAGATGAGGTTGAGATAGATGGTAGGTAGGTAGGCAGGTCGGTAGGTAGATGATAGATAGATAGATAGATAGATAGATAGATAGATAGATAGATAGATAGATAGATAGATAGATAGATAGATAGATAGATAGATAGATAGATAGATATGGTGGGTGGATGGATGGATGAATTTTTTAGGATTCTTTGATTGGACACATAAGAAAACACCCTCTCTAACCAATACTACGGTGGCAAAATGCAGGCAAAGAAAATACCACATTTTGCGGGCCTAAAATAAATTTTGCATTTGGACTTCAGAATGTTTAATGAATATCTTC